TTGTGATAATGCATGCTTTGGTGTATTGCTACTGTTATTATTTTTTTCTGGGATCAAATCATCTCAGTCTCTGGTTTTTATTTTCAGAATTAACAGGAAAGACGCAAAATCCTTGTCGTTATCAGTTGTTTTCAGTTTCAAAGAGCGAGAATCTACAAGGTCCTCTTCCATTCTTTCCTTCAGGAAAGACGCAAAATCCTTGATTCTTGTTATCAATTGTTTTAAGTTTTCAAAGAGAGAGAATCTACAAGGTCCTCTTCCATTCTTACTGGCAAGAAGAAGCTCTTAAAACTTACCGAGGCATGGGCCTAGATTATTAAGACATAAACTGTGCAGGAAAACAATGAAACTTCTTAAGTCTTATCGCTAAGTGGTTATCAAGCGAAGTGTACGGTAAAAGTTGCTGGGGTCTAAAGCTCCCTCAATTCTGCAATGTACTTATGATTGAATTGTAAGGATCTGGAAGGGTTATTGTATTTACTGTCTTAAGATCGAAGTGGGCCGCAAGTTGTTGTCTATACTGTCATGGAGCAAGATACATTAACCTTAAAGGGAATCTACATCATTGGCTTTGCTGTAATATTCAGAAATGAACTATTTGAGGGGTTAGTATAATAGATCTAATATTGTTACACCGACATGTTTGAAGTTTTGTGTTAAAAAATGCTGGAAAAACCAAGAAAAACAAAAATGTTCAATTAGTCTGGCTCTCCGACTGCACTAAAGATGAAATGGATCAATTTATGGATGCCGGAAAATTGGAACCAGTCTAGCTGGCCTGCACCCGTTCATGAACATGTAACCAATAGCAAACAAAAGTTGGACGGAAAAAAAAAGTAAATTGGAGCAGTAGTTGAAAAATAGTCTGGTTTTTCCAACGGTGGTCGGCCGACCACCGTAAGAAATTTATACAAAAATACCACTTTTCTTGAAAATAACTTCACACCGGGTGCCATAATTTTACAGGATGATTTAGACTGTCATTTACCAACATCCTAGTTAGGGTATTTGGAAAAATTTGGTAGTTTTGTTGTTAGTTGTTTCCAAATGTTGTATATTCCCTTTAATACTGATAATATGAAGGCCCTGGACTCAGACAAAAAACAAACATGATGAAATGAAATTCCATTGATTTGAATCTGCACGGGGAACACACCAATGTTGACTGATAAAAAACAAATAACACAACATTTTTTTTAAACTTGAAATCAGGTTCGTGTCGGGGTCGGGTATTTTGTTGGTGACCTAAAAGCTCAATGTCATGTTCGTGCGGGGGAGGGGGGGGGGGGGGAGAGGGGGCGGGGGGGGGGGGGGAAGCCTTCTTGCCTTGTACATGCACGCTTACAATAATTGTGTAAACATTGAACAGTACGCGTGAACCAGGCAGATGTCCTACACGTTTCCACCTCGTTAAGCGTGGCTTTCAGTTCAAGCAAAATAGCCATCTGTGTTATATTTTGAAAATTTTAACGTCGAGGCACTTCAAACACTCAGCATGCAAATCTTAACAGCCGAGGACTAAAAGCAGTTTTAAAGACATTTTTTGTTGTCGCAAGAAGGCAGACAATACGCGGGGTCGCTCTGGGTCGATGGGCTAGTAAGCTTAAGTAAAAAAATTATGCCATTTCAAATGATTGAGTGAAGTTTGGATAGTTTTCTATATAATCCCATACTTTCCAGAACAACTTTAATCGTGGGAGGGAAAGAAAATTAATTTAATAATTTTATTTAATAATCAACCATGGCCAGAAAAAAGACGGCGCAAACTTCCAGAGCCATGATAAGCTAATTTAGTACGTTCAGAAAAGACTAAGACACAACTTGCTCATAGCAGTTTTACTAGTGCATTCCGGCCAACTTAAAACAAATCAATGTTTAAGTGATGAACAAATTGCACCCTGATTGCAGGTTTATGGCGTACCCTAAAGGGTGTTGCGACCATTCAGCCCAACTAAATCACCCTAAAATAAATATCAACGGGGAAAGGTCATGCCAATCAATTGGTATTTGCTCAAGATTGGGTCCCTCTGAAGTAATATAAAAACCACGGGAACTTTCGGCGACCCCCAATACACTCAAGGCCCGTCTGGCCCTGAAACCAACTTGGTCGGACTCTCAATTATTCACCAGAAAAAAATCCTGCACGGGGCGAACTTTCCCCGGTATAGAATCGTCGTTTTGTGGAGTCGGGAATTTTCAGATTGGTTCGCCGAAAGTCCGGGACGTGGGTGGAATCGTCGGCGTCCACGATGGGGGCTCCAGCCGCGAGGCCCCGACAAGTGTTCACTGTCGCCCTGCTGGTCCTGTGCCTGAGTATCGGTGTCTCGTCCAGGCCCGTTGCGAAGTCTTTCCGCTCGTAAAGCGCTCGGAGGGCGAGTTGCAGGAGACAGAGCCAAACGCAGAACTTCTTGTGAGTGGAATCTTTTTTTTTGTTATAAAAAAAAAAGATATATCATTCGAGCTGTAAAATAAGGAAAACTCCTTATTTAAAATTGTATCAATATGTATTAAACATCTTGACGTATTGCCCGCCCCATTGTTTAGTCCAAAGAATATTTACATACATTTGCTGAATTTATATTGCATGTTCCGGCACGTTGTCTGGCATTATGATAACGAATCGGGACAAAAAATGCTCGGCCAATTCGTGGTGTAAATTAGAATCCAAATCGGGATTCCTTTTTTCTGTTGCACGTTGAATATGCAAATTTCTTAAAACTTTGCCACACTTTTCGTTACACCCCATCCCATTTTTGGGCAAAAACGTTCCTGAGCGTTTTTGATTGGAAAATTGGTTAATCCCTGATTCGATCATTGAACTGCATCAAGTGCAGGTTTTGGAAAAGGAGAACACTGAATTTTTGTCATAAAATATAGTTCAAAAATTCCCGACATATATAAAGTTCAAAAATGAATATCAAAAAAAAATAAAAAAAAATAAGACTGTAATAGTTTCCTATCCAGTGCCTTTTGCCCCATCCTTTTTACAACCAATTGAACAGTATTATTCCCGACATTCGTGATTGGAATTGCGTGGGCTAAACACCCCACACCCCTAAATACCAAACCTGAAAGACGGTCACAAACAAACACCGAGGATTATATTTTTTCATTGACAACGTTCAAGGAGAAGGGGTTGGGCTTGGGTTGGTCAGGTAGATCAAGCCAAAAGTGTTTTTTTTCACCCACGGCCGTCCCAACCTGAGTGCTTGGGAACTCTCAAGGGTCTGTCCCTAGGGTTATCAGTATAGCCTTTTAACATTTACTCACTCGTAGGGTTGGGAGCTGTTTGTTGGCTGAATGATAACGCGTCTATCTTTCCAAAGATAATACAAAGAATGCTAAGAGTTTCATTTTAATAAATAACACCAAAGCACTGAGAAAGAAATTAGAAGAAAACCCAGTCATTAAATAGCGATATGATGGGGTTTTGAACACCATTATTCGAGGGAAAATACTTGTACCTTCTTTTGTCGACCTTAAAGGGAATGTACATCATTGGCTTTTGCTGTAATTTTCAGAAATGAACTATTTGAAGGGGGAGTATAATAGATCGAATTTTGTTACACTGACATGTTTGAAGTTTTTTGTTCGAAAATGCTGGAAAAACCAAGAAAAACAAAACTGTTCAAGTAGTCTGGTTCCCTGACTCCACTAAAGATAAAATGGATCAATTTCCAGATGCCGGAAAATTGTAAGGTAAGGGAACAAGTCTAGCTGGCCTGCACCCGTTCATGAATATGTAACCAATAGCAAACAAAATTTGAACTGAATAAAAAATGGTAAATTTGGAGCAGTAGTTGCAAAATAGTTAGGTTTTTCCAACGGTGGTCGGCCGACCACCGCTGGAAACGGAAGCCCCTGGAAACGGATGCTTTTGACTGTCATTTACCAACATCCTAGTAAGGTGTTTCGTAAAAACTTGGTAGTTTTATTTTTGATGTTTGCAAATGTTGTATGTTCCCTTTAATGGCTGGTTAATACATAAGTACATTTTTCCTAATGCATGTTCTATTACTATTATTATTGTCTCCCTGGATGTTTTTTTATTAGAAGCGACGGAATCACTTATTAAAGCGTTCCGCCAGGTTAAATAAGAAATAATTGGATAAAAACTAACAATAAACGTTTAGAAATTCAGCATACTAAAAAAGAGGAAGTCTGGTCTGTTTCTAAAGCGTCGATATGCCTTTCAACACAGGTATGCAAGGAGATATGATTATAAAGAAAGACAACAAACTACAAGAAAGAAATGATAAAGTTTTGAGAAGTGTTTCAAAATAGGTATACACTTGTAAAGCGTATCAGCCATAGGCCAATTGCAGGTGTGTGTGTGTGTGTTTTTCAGTTGACACATAGGTGAACGTTGTCTTATTTATTTCCTTTCTCCTTCAAACATTAAAGCGGATACTTCAGGAGGAGGATGACAATGAGGTTCAGAAGAAGGAAGCCAACGAAATACCTGCCCTTTTGGAGCAAAGGAAGGTGGCTCTGCTTGAGAGAATGTCTACGAACGAAGTAGAGACAACAGATGATGAGACTAGCAAACCCGATGAACGTTTTTTTAATTGGGGAGCAGGAGGAGGCTGGGGCGGTGGTGGAGGTGGTGGAGGTGGAGGTGGTGGAGGAGGTGGTGGCGGTGGAGGAGGAGGTGGAGGAAATAGACCTGGTGGAGGAGGTGGTGGTGGAGGTGGTGGTGGAGGAGGTGGAGGTGGTGGCGGGGGAGGAGGAGGTGGAGGAAATAGACCTGGTGGAGGAAATAGACCTGGTGGAGGGGGGGTGGCGGTGGAGGTGGAGGAGGTGGAGGTGGTGGCGGGGGAGGAGGAGGTGGGGGAGGTGGAGGTGGTGGCGGTGGAGGAGGAGGTGGAGGAAACAGACCTGGTGGAGGAGGTGGTGGTGGAGGTGGTGGTGGAGGAGGTGGAGGTGGTGGCGGTGGAGGAGGAGGTGGAGGAAATAGACCTGGTGGAGGAAATAGACCTGGTGGAGGAGGTGGTGGTGGAGGTGGTGGTGGAGGAGGTGGAGGTGGTGGCGGTGGAGGAGGAGGTGGAGGAAATAGACCTGGTGGAGGAAATAGACCTGGTGGAGGAGGTGGTGGTGGAGGTGGGGGAGGTGGAGGTGGTGGCGGTGGAGGAGGAGGTGGAGGAAATAGACCTGGTGGAGGAAATAGACCTGGTGGAGGAGGTGGTGGTGGAGGTGGGGGAGGTGGAGGTGGTGGCGGTGGAGGAGGAGGTGGAGGAAATAGACCTGGTGGAGGAAATAGACCTGGTGGAGGAGGTGGTGGTGGAGGTGGAGGAGGAGGAGGTGGAGGTGGGGGAGGTGGAGGTGGTGGCGGTGGAGGAGGAGGTGGAGGAAATAGACCTGGTGGAGGAAATAGACCTGGTGGAGGAAATAGACCTGGTGGAGGAGGTGGTGGTGGAGGTGGGGGAGGTGGAGGTGGTGGCGGTGGAGGAGGAGGTGGAGGAAATAGACCTGGTGGAGGAAATAGACCTGGTGGAGGAGGTGGTGGTGGAGGTGGAGGAGGAGGAGGAGGAGGCGGGGGAGGTGGAGGTGGTGGCGGTGGAGGAGGAGGTGGAGGAAATAGACCTGGTGGAGGAAATAGACCTGGTGGAGGAGGTGGTGGTGGAGGTGGTGGTGGAGGAGGTGGAGGCGGTGGAGGAAATAGACCTGGTGGAGGAAATAGACCTGGTGGAGGAGGTGGTGGTGGAGGTGGTGGTGGAGGAGGTGGAGGTGGTGGCGGTGGAGGAGGAGGTGGAGGAAATAGACCTGGTGGAGGAAATAGACCTGGTGGAGGAGGTGGTGGTGGAGGTGGTGGTGGAGGAGGTGGAGGTGGTGGCGGTGGAGGTGGAGGAAATAGACCTGGTGGAGGTTGTAACAGACCTGGTGGAGGAGGGGAGGAGGTGGAGGTGGTGGCGGTGGTGGAGGAGGAGGAGGCGGTGGTGGAGGTGGAGGTAACAAACCTGGTGGAGGAGGGGGGTGGAGGTGGTGGAGGTGGAGGAGGAGGTGGTGGAGGTAATAGACCTGGTGGAGGAGGTGGAGGAGGCGGTGGTGGAGGTGGAGGCGGTGGAGGAGGAGGTGGTGGAGGAGGAGGTGGAGGTGGTGGAGGTAATAGACCTGGTGGAGGAGGCGGTGGTGGAGGTGGTGGTGGAGGTGGAGGCGGTGGAGGAGGAGGTGGTGGAGGAGGAGGTGGAGGTGGTGGAGGAGGAGGTGGTGGTGGAGGTGGAGGAGGCGGAGGTAATAGACCACAGCCGCCAAAACCGAAGCCTCCAAAGCCCCAACCTCCAAGCCAAAGCCTCCGAAGCCGCAGCCACCAAAGCCAGAGCCTCCGAAGCCCCAGCCGCCAAACCCTTGGAGACCTAGCAGCAGCAGCAGCAGCGGGAGTAAAAGCAGTAAGGGCAGTCATAGGCATAGCCATGGCAGTAGGAGCCACGGCAAGAAGAGCCACGGGAAGAAGAGCAAGGGAAAAAAAGAGTAAGGGAAAAGGTCACAGGAAGGGGCGAAGTGCCGTCTATGGCTTGCCGGCTCTTTGGCGCCCGGTTGCCCTGCCCTAAATATGGACTGACTTTATCTTTAAGATTGTAGCTAGTTTGATAATTTAAATACGGACTGACTATATCTTTAAGATTGTAGCTAGTTTTGATAATTTAAAGAAAAGCATATTAAATTATCACGAGTATATTTGCTTTCCTCTTTAGTCACATTAAAACTAATGCAGCAAGCAAGTCACTTTTTGTCAGGTTCCTTGAAGCCGGTCATCAGGTTGCAAGTACCAAGCTTTTAAGGCACCAGACAATAATTGTGGCTATAACCCATTTCTGAAAAACTAAAAATGCTATTGTAAGATGTTAAATTTTCAAGGCACCTACACAATTGCTCGAATGAAACAAGGTATCTTGTGTTAAAGGATAATGTTTATTGCCCACATTGGGATCTGTTTATGTTTAGTGTGGATCACATTTTAAATTGATTGCTTGTAGTTTGGAACCCTTAAATAGTTGGACGGAATGTTTATGTGATTATGCCTTTTAGATTTATAGGGCAATTAAATGCTATAATACAAATTCTTTTGTGGTAAGAGATTGAAATCGGACACATGCTAAATACTTCAAAGAATAACAACCACGTTCAGCTTTTACCAAGCTAGAATTGCTGGATCTTATAAGGTGCCGTGTTTGTTGATGCCTCTGTTTTGTTACGCGCCACTTGGTTGTCTCCTTGATAACTCCACTCAGTCTTTCATTAATATTTGATCAAAGATAAATTGATCATAGAAATTCTGTTTGATCTTGCATAGAGGCCCACTAAATCAGTTTGTTTAGGCAACATGTAATAGAGTACCTGTAGATCAAAAGGTTTCCATTAGGAACCAAAGGTCTTATCAACGTTTGGACAAATATGCACCTATCGTAAAAAAAATACTGACAACGATTGGGCAGTACCTTTATGACAAGGTCAACTGTACATGGGCTTTTTTGCGATGTGTAAACCATCATTTTCTTTGGAAATTTCTACTAATAAATAACTATGTACTTGTAGACATTATTTTTATGTCATGGCTGCATGTTTTCATTTTGTAATATCAATTGAATTAATTCTCATTTCCGATTTTGACTTAAACCAAAGTCAATAAATCTGTTTCTTTTATAAGGAACAGATTTATTCAACATTTAAAAGAGATTTTAAAAGACATTTACTTAAAAAATAATTGTAGGGATCTTTATCATGTATGTATTCTATACCCATACTTCGACGTTTAGTACTGCCTATTCTTTGCAGAGTTCAGAAGCTCAAACCACTGTGATACATTTAAAAAAAAATCCTTTTAAAGAAAAAGAAGGCAGATTAAGTGTTATATAGAGCAAATGGCGGGAAAAGATTGACATATCCAGGCAACGAAGGAAAGCGGTCCTGACTGTGTGTATTGACACGGACTGTGTACGCATCGGCGGGGCCGAAGCCCTACAAAGACCAGTAGCGCGCAGTGACGAGCTCTGCAAATATCCGACCGGCCCGCTTGTCCTAAAAATCAATTTACTTCATCATAACGGGGAGTTGCTTTTGCTATCCGAAACTCAACGGTGGAACAATCTGCTCTCTGGACTTCCTAGCAACTCTGTTGAATTTACATGAACAGGATGATTGCAGAATCTTCCAAGCAGGGCCGATTGAGTAACAAATGCTGCCTTTCAGCAGACAAACAAAACGACACACCAACTCGGCGATAACATGTGTTTGTTCCAATTTAGTTCAATTTGATAGATTTCATGTACTGAACATCCACACAACCTACCTACAGACAAACATATAGATAAACTATCTTGGCAATTTATTCTGTTGCTCCGCTTTGAAGACATTTTACAATGTAGACACTTCATACACGCACCCTACCAACAGACAATATG